TTTCACCCCAACCTTTTTTTTTCCCCCTCAACAAAAAATCCTTGGTGTTCCTCATAAAAATATATATATATATTGTTTGGTGTTCCTTGGTCTTAAAAAGTTTGAGACACTGGCATAGATCCTCATGGCTACAGTCATCAGGAGTCCCAAAAGAATTACAATCTAAGGTGGAGGACCTCCCCTTTGATAGAAACCAACTGTTTGCCACAAAGACAGATGAAGTGCTACCCTCAATGAAGGACTCTTGTACCACATTCCACACTCGGGGGGTGTACACTCCACCTAACAAGAGATGCAAATACATCCCCTGCAAAGGGTCTATAACTACTATAGACAACTGCAGAGGCCATACAAAAAAAGGCCCAAGCAATGCTCCAATAGGAGGAAGACTCAGCATAATCAGTCCTCTAATGCTCAATCGACTTCACACAAGAGCAGATTTGAAGTCTTTGTCAGGGGTCTGAGCAACCACCCCGTAGTTCCAGTGCATCCAAATGTCACCTTCCATCACTGCCTGAGACCATTCTACCAAGAATGGGCCAACATTACTACAGACAATGTGGTCCTAGAGATTATCAAATCAGGCTACACAATCCCCTTTACATCTATACCCTCTACCCAACCCCCTACCCTGTCCCTCTTTAGGGACCCATCTCACAAGCCCCTGCTTCAAGCCAACTGGCAGATGTGGTCAGTCCTCCTTCTTCTACATAAATGACTCCAATTCCCACCACTGTCTGGTGGGTACTGCTACTCAGTCACCTGAGTGGAGCACCCACAGGGACACCACTTGATAGAGAAGAAGTAGTTACTCACCTTGTGCAGTAACTATGGTTCCTTGAGATTTGTGTCCATGTGGGTGCTCCACTACCCTCCCTTCTTCCCCTCTGCTTGGAGTCCTTTAATGGATTTCAGGTAGAAAAAACAGAGGGAGGCTCACGCCACACGCGCACCCAACAAACAGCAGCAGCACAAGACGCAGAGTGTGCAGGTGCGGCGCGAGGGGCACTGCTGAGCAAAAATCTCCAGTCAGTGGCACAAGGGCGCATTGAGACCTGAGTGGGGCCCCCAAAGGAGGACATATTTGTAAGAACTATCGTTACTGCACAGGGTGAGTAACTACTTCTTCTCAAGACTATTTTATTTTTGTGGGCCTCATTTTCTTTTACAATTTTCTTTTTAAAACTAACCAACCAACCAAAAAGTAACCCAGAACTAGGCTCGACTGAAGCTTAAAGCTGACATTACTTTGCTTCAGTCCTATAGCAACTCTGGGCTTATTTGGTTTGTCCACAATTCCATTGCATCCACTTTGTGACCAATTATGTTAAGGGCCTCCTGGGTCATGCTGAGCATTATCAGTTCCCTGCACTATTCTGTTAGTCAAGACCATTAAAGTGAAACCCAATTTGTATCTGAATTATACATTATATTGTACACAATTATCTTTCTCCAGTTGATTATTCTGGCAATTTCTCCTCCAGGGGGAATTGAGATAATCAAGATTGTAGGATCGGGTCTTCCATTCTTACGATTATGTTTGATATTTGAAATATATAAGATTGTGCTTTTCAAGCAGAATTCTTATGCTTTATTACTTGCTGCTAATAAATAGAGCAGAATGGCAGATTACTTTGCACATAGTGTAAGCAAACCTGAATGTATAAGGTCTAGATCTAATTTAAAACCAGCCAGCCTTTGTACTGTTCCTTTTAAGGATATTGTAGGGGGCCACCCTCGTCCGTGTCCCCTGTTTCCCAGTCAACACACCCCTTTTGACGTATTTGGGGTCTTCAGGTTTATTAAATTTTTTCGTCTTACAAATCCCTTAACACGATTTGATCACCCTCTACCTGCTAGGGAACAGGGTTAGGGCCCGCCCTCGCTCCGAACCCCGACCCAGGGCCCTAAGGTCAGGACTCTCGTCCTTACTTAGTGGAGGGGGTAGAAACCCCTAAACTCCCCCGCTCTCGGGGTCCACGCCCCTGCCCTGGGCCGCTTCTTCCCCAGCCGTTGTCCAACACTAGCCAGGGGACCCCAAGTTAGAACTCACCCAGGGCCTCCAGAGTCCTGACCCACCTGGCCGCCGCTGCGGGGCTCCAACTCCCCTGGGATCCATTCTCCCCCCCTCCGGCATGGAGTCTGCTTTTAAATTCCCCGCCGGACACGGGGGGGAGTGCCCCCCCGACGTCATCACTCCGCACCACCCCTGGGCCTCGTGCAGATGATGTCACTGCGGACGTCATCACGACCGGCCCCCAAACCCCATGAATGTGCTCCCCCGCGTCACCGCTCATTCGGGGCGCTGCCACTCCCCGCCTAGGACTCCCCCCGGCGCAGCGCAGACCCCGCTTCCCCATCTCCGCGGACACGGGGGAGTTTCAGGGACAGATATCATTTAGGATTAAAGATGTTTTAATGTGAGCACTGACCTGTGGAGCCCCCAGCACACTGTTATAAAGGACAACAACCTCCACAATCCAACAGGTAGCTCCAGATCACCTCTTTTCCCAACCTCTTTCTGTATCTAGGAACAGAAAAATGTGACAAACCCCCTACTTACACACACACACACACTCCCTGCTGCTGCCTGCCCCTTCTGTGCACAACCCTGTCTCCTCCTTAATCATCTTCTGCTCCCTCTCCCCTCTGTCCTCCAGATTTCTTGTGTGGATACAAATAAAATCTGGATTAAGGATGTTAAGAAGCAGGTAACTGGCTAATTGTGTGGTCAATACAGAGGGAGCAAGGGTGGGAGAAGCGAGTAATCACGTAGTCACTCGACTGTCCAATAAGCCTAGCCTTATCGGGTAGTTGACTTTTTGACTAGTCGCTTACATCCCTAATCTTCATTGCGGATTACAGATCAAATAGGGAGTTGAGCCTGGCAGATGTGGATCCACATTTTGTGTATGTATAGATATCAGCAATTTGAGATTCTAGTCATGTAACTTGTTATCTATAGGCAGCAAAGCAGGAACTTGAGCGCCAGCGACGGCTGGAATGGGAGAGAATTCGACGCCAAGATCTTCTTAATCAGAGAAACAGGGAACAAGAAGAAATTGTCAAGTTGACCTCTAAAAAGAAGAGCCTTAGTCTTGAATTGGAAGCCCTGGTGAGGAATGCAGTGTATTAAACATATTTGAGTTATGTGCAGTATTTTTAAAATATGCTAAGGAAACCTTTTTCAAGAAATTTTTAGTGTAGGCTCAGCAATCAAAGCACTTGTTTTCTAATAATTTTTCTTAAGGTACCTTTAGGTAGAAATTATCTTTTCACAGAAATTCGTTAAACTTTTTTGTCATTTTGTTTTGGTTTTTACAATATGTGATTTAAATCTTTTTTGTTTTTCTGTAGAGTGGCAAACATCAGCAGATCACAGGCAGACTGAAAGATGTTCGAAACAGAAAACAAATTCAGAAAAGTGAGCTGGAAGTTCTAGATAAAAAATGTGATTTGGGAATTATAGAAATCAAAGAGCTACAACAGGAACTTCAAGTATGTGATTTCGTGTTAGACCTAGACATCGCTTTCATTTCTCTGTTGATTTCTCTTTAATAGTTGTGGTATCAGTAATGTGTAGGAGCATCAAGGAATTGAATGATTAGGGTGCAGAAAAGAAAACTAAGTAGAAATGGCCAGTGAATGTGGTTGCATAGTGCTCACTAAAAATATTTATAGCATTAGAGAAATCACTATAAACATTCACGATCATTGAAATTAATTTTACAGGGCTAGAAGTGAGGTTTTGACTGTATTTGCAGTAGTGTGTGCTAGTTTACCCGTGATCATACAGGAAGATATTTTTGCAGTGTTCAATAAGATTCTTACCTGGTTTCTCCCTCTTCATCTACATTTGACATTTCTAAAAAGAAGTAAAACTCCCAAGGATGTTTTATTGCTCTCACTTTTCCTGTGAAGGTGGTAGACCTGTGCAGCGCTCTTTCTACAATATCTCAGTTATTTCCAGATCACTAAATTAAGCAACTTAGTGGACCATCTATGGAAGATGCAGCAGCTGATGTTCCTCAAGTCATTCCAATGGACGTAATTCAAAAACCAACCCCATTTTTCTCCATGATTAAAAAATTAGGTTGGGTGTTAATTTTAAAATCTAGGGTTTGACTTCTAATATTGTGCATTATTTCATTTAGCTAAAGCTCACTTGTTCTCAAAACACATAGTTCAAGTGAGAAGTAACTGGTACTTTTTCATTGTGAATTGAGCCTTCTGTTGACTATACATGGGGTTAGTATTGATGTTTTTTACACTAATTGCTAGCAGTTGACTGCTGTGGCATACCCCTCACAAGGGGTACGTCTAGACTTCTGGCGACAGAGGCATGTAGATTAGACTACCCGGCATAGGAAAATGAAGCGGCGATTTGAATAATCGCCGCTTCATTTAAATTTACATGGCTGCCGCGCTGAGCCGATCAGCCGTTTGTCGGCTCAGCGCGGCAGCCATGTAAATTTAAATGAAGCGGCGATTTGAATAATCGCCGCTTCATTTAAATTTACATGGCTGCCGCGCTGAGCCGATCAGCCGTTTGTCGGCTCAGCGCGGCAGCCATGTAAATTTAAATGAAGCGGCGATTATTTAAATCGCCGCTTCCTTTTCCTATGCCGGGTAGTCTAATCTACATGCCTCTGTCGCCAGAAGTCTAGACGTACCCAAGGTGTTAACATTGAATTCTATATGCTAAACTAAAGCACACAGTGTAACTTGGTTTTGTTTTATTTCTCAGACACTGAAAACCTATTAGTTAATGACCAGTTAGAAAGAATGCTTGGAATTTTTTTCTAAATTCTTATTCAGCCATAATACACCAATGTTATGCTAATATACTTTAAATTTGTTCATTCCAACTGTTTTAAATTTGCATCAAATAATACTTAGTGTTTTGCGTGAGAGAGAGAATGAATGTATCAATGCACCATGGTTCAGTTTACTTACTTCATGTGATGTTGAAAAAGTGTTTGTGGTTGGTGCCATGTAAACAGATATTAACCTTTCTTAAAAATACATTGCACCTCTTTCTTGTATATTTATAGGAATATCAGAGTAAACTAGTCCATTTAGTTCCTGAAAAGCAGTTATTAAATGAGAGAATAAAACACATGCAGATGGACAACACTCCTAGTAAGTGTCTTCAAATGAACTCTTTACTCTGTATACCAGCTTTTCTTTATTCACTGGGAAGGCTACCGACTGTGTTGTTGTTAACCTTCCCTTCATAGTTACCATAGCTTCAGCAAGTCCCAACCAATACTCAGAACTGTTTGTTGGCCCTGCTTTCCATCATTTCCTACATCTAACAAACAAGGGGACAAATATCTTTTGATAAGAAAAGAAGGCTACAACTTTAAACATAGACAATACACACTATAGTACAGGCAGGAATTATGTTTATTGTTGTCCAGATTTTCCTTTTGCTTAAAATAGTGTAAAATCCCAGTTTTACACTCCTGTTAAATGAGTATCAAATGAGTGCCTGCCCTCAGGAGTTGCATCTAATCAGACTAATACAATATAAAGAGCAGATATCCTACAAATATTAATATTAGAGTTATCTTAGTGCCTCTATGTCTCAATGCGGGATTAAGGTCCAATTGTACTGGAAGTTATTTGAGAATATACTAGTGCAACAAACAAGCGATATTAGCAAATGGCTTCTGAAGTGGGAGTGAAAGTAAATTAAAAAAGAAATATAAATGGTTATTGAAAAGTATGGTAACACGTATAGAATGATTGTAAAACTACTTGATCTTTTCTACTCAGATACAGGAATCAGTTCAGTGAACAAGAAGTTCTTAGAAAAGGAAGAATTATGCCAAAGACTTCGGGAGCAATTAAATGCTCTAGAAAAGGAAACTTCTTCTAGACTCTCTGAAATGGATGAATTTAACAATCAGCTCAAGGTACATGAATTCTGCAACTATATTATCTTTATTAAGAAGCAATATTTCTCCTCATCCTAGTCACCAGACTTTGATTTGCTATTCCCCATGCTATGCCTTCTCTGAACCTCTTTTCCAATTTTATATCAAAATAAGCATTGCTAAGTATCTTCTAGCAAATCCACAATTAGAAACTAATTCAAAATGGTATTTTGTGTAATTAGATAGTAACATGCCCCCTCCTCCCCGCCCTCTGCTTACTCCTGCTCTGCATGCATCTTGTTTCAAAGGCACACATTGCTCATACTTATTTCAAAACAGGTCCTAAAGTACAGAAAAGATGAGCTTGCTGAGTACCTTGCAGGTTCTGTCCCTATGGCAGAAAGGTTTAATGGCTACCGTTTTGCAGACGATAAATGAAGTGTTCTCATTGTTTAACTTTTATTGGAAGAAAATACTAAATTTGCTAGCACCACACATGGGATATTCACTTTTGGCAGCACACACAGATGCTTTTATTTCTTTAACTAGGAGAGACAATGTGCAGAGCGTAATTGAAGGAGGACATGTAATTTATATGTTGTCAGCTATGCAACAAATGTGTGCAACTTTCTGACAGAGGTGTTGCCACTCTGCTTTATTTGCTGGCTTATTCATAGTAGCATTGATGTAAATTTTAGAATAAATTGTCTGATTTCCCTTCTGGCTAGACGAAGGACACCACTGCATCTGTTGAAGAGAACTGAAGAGGAAACTTTCAGACCTTTTTTTTTTTTTTTTTTTTTTTTTAAACTAGAAATGATATCCACAATATCAGTGCTTGCATTTGGTATCTCATGTGTGCTGCATGGTTTGCTGGTTAATGAGAGCAATTCTGTTATGATCAGTGACTGCATCAACAATATAGTCTTCCCTAAAATATATTTTTAAAATCATTACAAAGTTTAATTGGCTTTTTATCTGCCTTATCTTACAGTGTGAGAATATGGATGATTCTGTTCTTCAGTGCCTTTTGTCTCTGCTAAGCTGTCTCAACAACCTCTTCCTCTTACTTAAGGTTATTTTCTAATCTTTGGCTCTTTTGCTTTTAATTATTTCACAGTTTTTCTCTGTTTGCCCTTTCTTTTGGGGTATAGTTTCTCTTTAGCATTCAGCTGAAAATCTTTGTTTAAACATAAAACTTTTCTAAATCAGAATGAATTCCTTTCTGCTTGTTTTAAAATCCTTCTGCTATCTAACAGCTTAAACTTACTTGTTTTATAAAGCAAAGCCAGAAAATACTGATGTGTATCTTGCTTAACGGATTCAGTTAGCTTTATTACCCACATACTGTTTTTTTTCTTTTCAGATAAAGTAATATCCACCAAAAAAGTAATTTTCCTTTTTAATAGAAGCACAATTTCTTCCTTTGCATATTCCCCTCTTGCTGTCTCTTTCATGCACAGAGAATGTCTGCTATGAATCATTTCTGTCATTCATTTGGTCTGGGTTCAGAAGAGTCCTGAAATTGCATCAATGCCCAGGTTAACTATGGTTGCCAACTTTCTAATTGCAGGAAACAGAACATTTTTACACCACCCTCTGCTGCCCTGCCCCTTCTGAGGCCCCACCCTCTCTGTCCATCCACTCTCTCCTTTCTGTTCATCCTCCCTTCAGAGGTCCCACCCTCTCTCTGTCCATCCACTCTCCTTTCTGTTCATCCTCCCTTCTGAGGCCCCACCCTCACTCATTTTCAGTGTCCTGGCTGGGATAGAGGGTTCAGGTGCAGGAGGGGCTGAGGACTGCGGGAGGGGTGAGATCTCTGGGGTGGGGCTGGGATGAGAGGTTTGGAGTGTGGGGTGTTGAGGGGATTTAAAGCTTGTATAGGGAGGGATGAGAGCTCCATCTCTGGGATAGGCCTGAGAATGAGGGGCTGGGGTGCAGGAGGAGGCATCAGGCTGGGCGGTGGAGCTGAAGAGTTTGGAGCATGGGAGGAGGTTCCGGGCTGGGGCATGAAGCTGTGGGATTCAAAGTGTAGATGGGAGTTCCAGGCTGGGGCAGAGAATTGGGATGTGGGCAGGATGAGGGCTCCAACCGGGGGTGTGGGATCTGTCGTGGGGCCAGAAGTGAGGGATTTGGTGCACAGGAAGGGGTTCCAGGCTGGGGCCAAGGAGTTTGGAGTGTGTGAGGAGGCTCAGGGTGGGTGAGGGGTTAGGATGAGAGCTCCAGCTGGGGTTCAGGTTCTGAGATGGGGCTGGGAATGATGGGTTTGGAGTGCAGAAGGGGCTCAGAGCTGGGGTGTTGGATTGGGATGCAGGGGGGATAAGGAGTGTGGCTGGAATTAGATGTTTGGGGTGTAGGCAGGGGCTTTGGGCTGGGGTGGAGCAGAAGAGTTCAGAATATGAAAGGGAGTTCTGTTGGTATGCTGGGAGTGTGGGATCTGGTATGGGTCGGGAATAGGAATTAGGGTGAAGGAGGGGACTTTGGGCTTGGGGTCAAACTGAGGTGTTTGGAGTGTGTATGGTGGGAGGTATATGGCTGGGCTGTGGAGCCAAGGGGTTTGGAATGTGGACGTGAGTTCCCTGCTGGAGCCAGGGGATTGGGGTGTGGGCTCCAGCTGGGGATGTGGAATCTGGTGTGGAGCCAGAGGGTTTGTAGCATAGGATATGACTCTCAAATGGGTTGAGGGGATTGGAGCGTGGGAGGGATCCCCTGTGGGTCAGGAGGTTGGAGTGAGGGTCCCAGTTGGCGGTCCAGGTTCTGAGGGGTTGGGGATGAGGAGTTTGGAATGTGGCAGGGGGCTCAGAGCTGGGGCGGGGTTGGGATGCAGGGAGTAGGGCAGGAACTGTGGCTGGAATGAGAGGTTCTTCTTCAAGTGCTTGCTCATGTCCATTCCAATTAAGTGTGCGCACGCAGCGTGCATGGATTCCAGAGCTTTTTTCCCTTAGCAGTACCCGTTGAGCCAGACAGGGAGCCACCTGGAGTGGTGCATATATACCCCTGCTGGCCCTCCACCCCTTCAGTTCCTTCTTACCGCCCGGGACGGTAGCTAGAGCATTGACTAAATAGCTAGTCTCAACCCTTAGCTGGTGTACATAGTTTTTTCTTTAGTTGTTTGAGTTGTTTTAGTGTAGCTAGTGTTAATAGTTTTAGATAAGTGAGAGGAGAGTGCAGTGGCTCCAGGAACTCCTGTACGTTTTCCTTCCCCCCTCCCTTTTCCATTGATCCACAAGGTCATTCTTAGGATCAGGAGTTTCAAGGCCTCGGTCATCATGCTAATGCCAGCATGGGCCTGCCAGCACTGGTTTACCACTCTCCTAGACTTAGCAGTGGAAGAATCGATGCTGCTGCCAATAGTTCCATATCTGATCACACAAGACCTCGGGGAACGGAGGCTATGCCACCCAATCCTGTTATCCCTCCATCTCCTGGCCTGAAACCTTCATGATTGCTGGGGCCTGAGGCAGCTTTGCTCGGAGAAGGTGCAGAGGGTCGTCTTGGAAAGCAGAAAGCCCTCCACCTGGGCCGCGTATGTGGCCAAGTGAAAACACTTCTCCTTATGGACCACACAGGCAGGCATAGACCTGAGGGGTGCCCCAGTCCCCCTCATTTTAGACTACCTTCTTACCTCAAGCACTAGGGCATTCACCTGGCTGCCATTGTGTCCTTTCTCTCAGGGGAAGGGGGCAGGACGGAGTTCACAAATGAGATGGTGAAATGCTTCTTTAACGGGATTGACAGGTGGTTCCTCTATGTGCGCTGGCCCGTACACCCACCTGAATTTAGTCCTGGTGAGACTCATGAGCCTCCCCAGTTGAGCCCTTTGCCACCTGCTCTTTAAAGCACTTATCATGAATGGTGACTTTCTTAGTGACGATCGCTGCCAGGAGGGCATTAGAGTTGAGAGTCCTCACATCGGAGCCCCCATACACAGTTTTCTTTAAGGACACCCTACAGTCCTCACTCTACATTCCTTCCTAAGGTAATTTCCCATTTTCGCATGATCCAGGATATCTATTTGCCTGTTTTCTTCTTGAAACCTCACTCTACGCCCTTGGAGCAGGCGCTGCATTCTTTGGACATCAGAAGGGCCATCACATTCTACATAGAAAGGACAACAGAGTTTCGAAGGTCTCCACAACTCTTGATTTCCATAGCCGAGGGGATGTGGGGCTTACCAGTATTAGCACAGTGCTTATCCTCTTGGATCACTTCCTGCATTAGAATCTGGCCAGCGCCTCCTCCCCTCTTATGGCCCATTCCACAAGGGCTCAGGCGTTGTCAATGATGTTTGGTGCACAGGTGCCTATTCTTGACATCTGCAGAGCAGCCACATGGTCCTCGACTCATACGTTCTCAAGCCACTACGCTCTTGCGCACAGCAGGCCAGGGATGATGTGGCCTTTGGGAGGGCTGTGTTGCAGTCCATTTCAGTCTAGTCTCCAACCCCACTTCCTAGGATACTGCTAGGGAGTCATCTAATTGGAATGGACATGAGCAAGCACTTGAAGAAGAAAAAACGGTTACTTACCTTGTAACTGTTGTTCTTCGAGTTGTGTTTCTTGTCTCCATTCCAAATCCCCTCCAGCACTACTTTGTCAGAGGACTCCAGTAAGAAGAAACTGAGGGGGAGAAGGGCCAGCAGGGGTATATATGCACCGATATAGCAGTGCCACTCCAGGGGGCTCCCGGTCTGGCCCAATGGGTACTGCTCAGAGAAAAAAGCTCTGGAATCCATGCACGTGGTGCGCGCACACCTAATCGGAATGGACATGAGCAACACATCTTGAAGAACATCAGTTACGAGGTAAGTAACTGTTTTTTCAGGTGCAGGAGGAAACTTCTGAGTTGAGGGCTGGAGCCAAGGTGTTCAGAGTGTGTGGGGGAAGACTCCGGGCTTGGGAAAGGGGCTATGTGCGGAAGGTGTCTCAGGAATGAGGCAGTGGCATAGACTCTGGAAAGGGGTTCAGGGTGGAAGATTGGGATGCAGGAGGGGTTAGGGCTCTGGCTGGGGATGAAGGATCTGGTGTGGGGCCAGGGATGAGGAGTTTGGGGTGCAGGAGAGGGCTCCAGCCTGAGGCAGGGGTTTTGGGCATGAGAGGGAGTTGAGGTTTCAGGCTCCAGCCAGGTGGCTCCTAGAAGCGGCCAACATCTCCAGTTCCTAGGTGGAGGCGCTAGAGGGTTTTGCATGCTGTAGGCTCTGCCCCTGCAGCACCCATTAGCCAATGGCAGCTGCGGTGCCAGCATTCAGGGAGGGATAGCTCAAGGAGCCTGCTTTTGATGGCCCCCGTGTTTGGGAGCTACAGGGACATATCAGCCACTTCTGGGAGCCACCCAGAGCCAGGTGGCTGACCGGTGCTGCCGGGGTACTTTTTCATCGAAAACCAGATGCCTGGCAGCCTTAAGGTTAATATGCATAATTCTGTAGTAAGATGCTTCCAAACCACCTTGTTTAACCTAGTAATGAAGCTTTTGTACCTATTCTCCTTTACACAAGGGAAATTCATGCTGTGGTCACAGTACTCATTTGCTTAGTATATTTTATCCAGCTGTCCATTTTGAATATCATATCCTCTCCTTTCCTTGTAAATTGCTCTGTGACTTCTTTAATGGGCCATTTGGTTTTGGAACAAAATTATACTATTTTTCACAGTGAACCTCAAACTGTTTAAAATGAGAAGAGAAATTGTTCCCCACCTTTGTCAATGCAATTCTGTATTATAATTTGCCTGTTGCAGGTAATGAGAATTAGTTTGTTGCTGCAGAAACTCACTGTGCAACGAAGGTTATCTTTTTCATATTAATTACATTATTTTGACAGTTGAACTTAGGAAATGTCAGATTTTGCAGTGAGAATGCAGTATTCCTAATTACTCTCTTTTGATAAATGTCTGATAGGAAAGGCCATTATCTACCTATTCATCAGTATGTGTATTTAATGTACTGTAATGTGATTCTTAAAAATTAATTGTAGTGACATACAAATATATTAACAACCCATTAATGTGTATCCTAGATAATTGCTAATATGTTCCTTTTGTATATTTAATTACTGGTAGTTTTAAATGATTTGGTGTGAAAAAGTTCATTATAAAAAGACACACAGGAATGTTAAAGTGGGGGTAATGGGAGTGTTGTTACTTTTAAAAAAAATATTGTTAAAAGCATTAAAAGGTATAGGACCATATTTAGGCAGAATCTAGTAACTATGTGTTTATATTTTCCAATATTAATAAAACTATTGCATTTTTTCACTAGTGCACCAGATTCCAATTTGGACCTGTTATCCAAAGCTCTTCCCTTTATTTCAGTCTTTAGTCTGAGCCTATTTATAGGAAATATTGTAGTCTGAACTTTTCTTTGCACGTGACTGTATTTGTCTTAGTTTTTAGATTGTATTGTTATTTTAAACAAAAGTTCTTTGAGTCATAATTATAGAAAAGATTATATAGTTCGCCCATAATTAGTACATTTTTATCTGTATTTTTCTTCTTTCTGTAGCACTCTTCTGTTACACTAAAGCAGTGCATAGTAAAATAAATACTAAAGCATAGTGAAGGGAAGCCTACACTTTCATCTTCATCCGGGGGGAGGGGTAGCTCAGTGGTTTGAGCATTGGCCTGCTAAACCCAGCATTGTGAGTTCAGTCCTTGAGGAGAGCATGTAGGGATCTTGGGCAAATCTGTCAGGGATGGTACTTGGTCCTGCTATGAGGGCAGAGGACTGGACTTGATGAACATTCAAGGTTCCTTTCCAGTTCTATGAGATGGTATATCTCCATATATTATCTTAAGGGATGTACACCAAAATTTTCTAGTATTGTTTGTAGTTTAAACAGTGTGTCCACCAGGTAACTATACAGAGATAATTTGAAGACAATTTGCTGTACTTCTGGTCTTAGATGGCCCAGTATTTAAGTACTTAATTTAAAATTCCCACTCATTTTTCCTGCATCATATTTGCGGTTTCCAGCAAATGCATGACTAAAAGATGGACTTCACAAGCAATGTTCCCTCTAATCTTTTCCATCCATGTGTGGATTTTTTCCATCCGTGTTTAGAATATTTTTTTTAATATGTGCTGAGGTATGTGCAAATGTGCACCCCCAATAGAAACACACAATCTAGTTGTTGGCACTCAACTAATCAACTGGGCGGCATTTGAATTTCTCCTGTGTGGACGCACAAGTGCATAGCTTACAGGGAATGCTGTTCGCAAGTATAAGCAGCATAAAATAGTTTGCAGATCTGCCAGCTATTTTACATCCTCCTGTTTGTTTAACTTGCTTTCTAATGAGATTCAACATCCACTTTTAACTTTAGATTATCCTATTTGTATTAGAATTTGGATCACAAAGCATTAAAGTGTCTAGTTACTTTCCTAGAAAAATGGACTTCATTGTCAGTCCTTTGATGTGCTTTATTATGTTTCCTTATTAGGAACTGAGAGAAAGCTACAGCACACAGCATTTAGCCCTTGAGCAACTTCACAGAATCAAAGAAGAGAAAATAAGAGCTATAGAAAGAAAAAGAGCTGAACTTGCACAGAAAAAGCGGCTGGAGGATGAGGCTGCAAGGTAATGTGGTTTAAAAACATAAAAAAACCTGACAATCTAGTTTTAAAACAAGATAATGCTTTGGTGGGCTTAAGATGTTGATAGCAGCAGTAGCCATAAAATTGAACTGATTAAAATATACATCCTGATTAAGAAAGCAGAGTTGTTTGTACTAAGTTTTTGAGTTCCTTTCCTCATCTATTTGCTGAGAAATGTTATTCTCAAAGATTGATGTATCAAATAACTAGAGATTCCATTTTTGTAATGGGGCTTTTTAATCTCTTCTCCACTTAAGCTGCCATACACTTAAGATTATTTAATCACATTTTATACCTTGTTTTGTTGTCATTTGTACATCAGCTTACTCTCCTTTAAAAGCACTTCCTACTTAAATGAACAAATTTAGTTGCTTGTCATTCATACCCTGACATAGGGATGTTAAGTTTAGATTTATTAACTAATCGAATAGTCAGTGGGATTTCCATCGACTATTCTATTAGTCTATAAGGGCGCCTCCGCCTGTGAACTGTAGCAAGAGCCCTGCAGGGAGCTTTTTAAATGTACAAGAGCTCCGGCAGGACTCCTCCACTGGCCCCATGCTCCCTGCTTGCCTGAGCCTCTGCGGAGTTTCTGCTTTTGAAATGTACAAGAGCCTCGCTGGGGCTCTTGCACATTCAAAAGCAGAAGCTCTGCAGGGAGCACGGGGCCAGTGGAGGGACTTCCAGTGAGGCTCTTGTACTCCCATTTAGGCTCTTGTACATTTCAAAAGCAGAATCACTACTGTAGAAACGGAAAAACAACAAATGGTCTGGTAGCACTTTATAGACTAACGAAACATGTAGACGGTATCATGAGTTTTCGTGGGCAGAGCCCCACCTCTTCAGTAGAAACGGCGTGAGCAGAGACTGCTTCAGTCCCCGCTCACACTGTTTCCTGCTGTGCCTCTACCTCCCCTATCCTCCACAGACCTGCTGCTGAGGGTAACCAGCTTTTAAGCTAGCTCCCACCAGCTCCTGCTCCCCCCACTTGCTGCCTCTCTCCAGCAATGGGGGTGGGGAGCAACTGGTTGCATCACTAGTCAACTATATGATAAACTTATGCTTATCAGATAGTCAACTAGTCACTTACATCCCTACTCTGACAGTATAATATTCTTAGTCCCTGATTATTTATGGAAATTGGAGGGACATTATGACAGTCTAATGTCAATATGATGATCTTGGAAACTTTGTGAATGTCAGCAAGTTTCTAGTTTAAAGGGTAAAAGACTCAATTAATCCTCTTTGCAATTCCCTTCCCTACCCTTGGCCTAATTGATTCAGTAATCTCAAGTAGCAATGTTGCCCAAAAGTTTTTTCAGTTGTCTGGTTAGCTGGCTGCTCTCACATGACTCTGATCTGAATATTGCCATAATCGTGATGGCAAGATTATGATTAGTTTTTGGTCTGCAGTGAAGGGACAATAGAAACTGAAGGGGAAACCAAAGAGGGGATGAAGAGATCCTGATGGGGATGTTGGTAGGTGGGATAGGGAGATTGGGGAACAGGGAGCAAAAGAGAATACTAGAGCAGGAACAAGAAAAGATAGAAAGGGATTGCTATGTCAATTGTCATTTCTTCTCTGCATTCTGAGTTTGGGGAGTGAGCAGGGATCTGCTCTTTCCCCTTTTGAGGTTGGGACCTTGAGTTTATTAACATATTGATATTATCAGGTTCATCAATCAGCATTTCTCCACCGTACTCCAGAGAGAAGGAAAGCCAACACTTCATGTGTTAGAGCCACCCTGTCTAAATTCTAGTCATGGCTGTGCCTTGCTTGTGGTTTTAGTGGCTCCAAAGTCACTAACTGTAGTTAGTCCCATAAGCACGTTGTCACTTATCTATACATTTATTTTATCCTTTTCATTAAGGAAAGCAAAACTGGAGAAGGAGAATCTATGGCAGGAAAATGTCCGAAGGGAAGAAGAGGAGAAAAAAAAGCGATTACAGGAAGAGCGAATTCAGGAAAAAATTCAGGAAGAAAAGCAAAAAGCTGAGGAGGCAGCTGCCCAGGTGAGACAGGAGTCCCAGCAGCAAAAACTGTCTGAGGAAAAACATGAGGAAGAGAGGAACAAGTTAGCAGAGATTCAGAGAGAAGCAGAACAAAAAAGGCAGAGACAACTGGAAGAAGACATAAGGAAGCGAGAACAGATTGCAAAAGAAGCCGAGGAGAGGCGTAAACAACATGAAGAAGAGAAGAAAAGAAAAGATGCAGTCAACTTGCAAGAGTCAGAGAAACACATTTCAAAATTGAACTTAAATGAGAAATTTGCAGACTTATTGAAACAGACTGAGGGTAGAAATCTTAAACCAACATGGAAAAGTGAAGGTAAACTTCATTTATTGATTTATTTTTTGTTACAAATGTTCTTTGTTGTCTTGAATGAACATTGTTACTTCATATTTTAGACATTTTAATGTAGGATAATGACAGTATTGTAGGTTATGAATTTAAAAATTGTTGTCAGATGACCAACAACCATATCTACAGCTGGGGTAAATCTGTTGATGTCAGTTGAGTTATACTGAGTTACACCAATTTACACCGACAAAGGGTCTGACCACAAATCTTTCAGTGCTTTCAGTCAATAAATCCTGGACATTTAGAGCAGTAACATTTTAGCTTTCTTCCACTTGGTGTTTGCAACAGAAAACTCAGCTATTATGAGCTGAGATGCTCATAATATCTTATAAAACAGTTTTGATAGTTGTCATAACCAGAAGGGCTGACCAGCAGCCTGGGAACTAAGGGGTTAACCTAGCCAGGTATCTGGTCAGGCAATAGTAATGCAGGTAGGGGACTCAAACTGGGACAAAGGAATTTTTAACTTTTCCCTCCTTTGCCTGGGTCAGAGCAGTTTTCTTCCAGGTTACAGGGAGATGGGAAGCCGTTAACTAACTTTACTCTACTTACATATTGTGAAAAGACTTTTCTTGTAGAGAGAGAGAGAGATGGTCTCAATCCTTCCCCCTCTTCAGTCAGAGGGTGTCTAGACTACAGGGTTTTGTCGACAAAAGTGGACTTTTGTCGACAAAACTAAACCTGCGTCTACACTACCGCTGAGTTCTGTCGACATAATGTCGACAGAACTCAGCAGTTTTGTCGACGCTGGTAAACCTCATTTTACGAGGAATAACGCCTTTTGTCGACAGAGTTCTGTCGACAGAAGGCGTTAGTGCATCTAAACTGTTCTTTGAATCTACACTGCCATGTCGACAAAGCAGCTTGCTTTGTCGACAGAACTGAATGTAGTCTAGACGCTCTTTGTCAACAGAAGCTTTGTCGACAGTATCTGTCAACAAAACTTCTGTCGACAAAAGCCTGTAGTCTAGACGTACCCTTAGATGTTTCCAGCAGGTATCTTAGGTGGTAAGTGGTGGTCTCCTGGACTCTGGAAACTCCTGCAGTTGTTTAGTTTTCCCTCTTTATATTCCTTTTATCCAGGACAGGAATTATTTGTGTTCAGTTCAGATTTTTCTCACCTTGAGTGGCAAAGTAGCAGACCAAAATGGGTTCCAGAATCAGGTGGCCTGACCGCATGTCTTCGTAGACTTATAGTTTGGGCTTATAGGAAAAACAAAGCCATTTAAAGGTTGTTGACTTGATCATCCTAAATTATCATTAATAGCTTTTACTAGAATACCTGGACTAATAAAACAGGTTTCCACTTTATCATTCTTGTATGTGAAATTAGAAATATTCAAGCACAAAAATAGATTATACAGAATCAGGGGATCACAAACTCTTGAATGACCTGTTTTGCATAGAGCATCTTTGAGTTATGCATTTTCATATTCATATGCTAATTTTTGTAAAGCATGGAAGCCTTATGAAAATATTGTGCATCATTCAACTGTTATTTTTCACCATATGCTTAGACTATAAGGTCTTTCGGTCAGGGACCATCCTTTTGTAAAGTGTCTAGCACAATGGGCCCTGAACCAGCTTGGTGCCTCACTATTGAAATTCCAAAATAATAAATACGAGTAATACTTTTTCTTCTATCAGGTAACATAGTCAGTGCCTCAGAATCTAGGAATTCAGTTGCCTTGGTGAATTACAGAGCTTTATACTCATTTGAAGCAAGGAATCATGACGAGATGAGTTTTAATTGTGGGGATGTAATTCAGGTAAGACTGACAGTTCATGTTAAACTAACTGCAAAAATCCTTGACACATGCCTTCATAGAAAGTTATGGTTCTTACACATTATAGATCTGTTTGAATTTACACTATGTGCTTCTTTTTAGGAGGTGGTAGTAGGATTGATTTAAGCAATATGTACCTTTAGAACTGACATATTATAGAGGAGTCAAGGACCAAGGACTGGTATGGACTACTATGAAATGCCCAGCTTTGAAATAATTATTGCTGTTATAAATTTTGTGAAAGGAATAATAGGAAAAATATAATTAATCACTGCTCTCCTATTTCTAGTATGACATTTTGCAGGTATGCATATAAGGTGGCAAAGAAAATTTGCCTACAGCAATGCAAAAATAGTAAGCATTGCCATAGATAGAAGTGTATAAAACATTATTATTCTTGATGCTAGAATTATTAAATACCTGACCTGCCTGATTTGAATAGGTTTGAGGGTTTCTCCTAAAGAATTAAATATCTGAATAGTTTTCTTGGTTACGTTATCTGACTGGTGGTGGTTCAAGGAGATGCAGATGTGGTATGTACACATCCAGTGCACCAGAGCGAGGGACTTTCACCTAACAGTACTCATAGAGGGGGCAGCTCTCACACTTTGTGGCTGTTGTCCCAACCCCTCTCAGTTTCTTCTCACTGCCTGTGGCTGGAGTCAGAGCTCAGTGTGGTTGTAGTCTCACAACCTCACATTTAGTTTTAGCCTAATTTAAACAGTGTCCTTCCTGTGGAGGGGTGATCCCCAACATTGACCTCTCTTTGCCCACCTTCAAGAGCATTGTTCGATGTGTACATTGTACGAAAAAGGACTCAGGTGCAATGTGTCCTTTAATTTTTTCCATCTGTGTTCAGAATACATTTTATGTGCACTGAGGCACATACAAATATGCACCACCAGTAGAAACATACACTGCCAGCTGTGGGTGCTCTGCTAATCAGCTGGGTGGCATTTGAATCACTCCTGAGAAGCAATCCAAGCACTCAGCTTACAGATGACACTGTTCGGGTGGTGCACGCTCTTCATCTTAAGTAGAACCTGCTTGAATAGGCCATACAGCCTGATCCAGTGTCAAAACCCACCTCAGGTCAAAGATTGCTGTTGGGCTTGGAGAGTAGTGCTTTGTTGAAGGAGAACAGTTCCTCCTCCTCATTGTCCACACTGAGGAAGAGGTCTCATAAGACCAACTGAGACTGCTTCAGGTCACAGAGTGTATAAGAAACCTTATACCTTTTACTCTGGTTCCAGCCTTCGGGTGTCCAATGAGTCTGGTACAGACTGTGTCCATGTCATCAGGAATCTACCTACCTCCTTTGCCTTTTGCTCCCAACTTCATTGTGGTCAGGACTTTTCCCAAACCATGCCATCTCTGGCTCCTATGTTGGAATAAGCCATTGAACTTTCATGTCTGTTGGTACTGTGTCCAGACACTATTCTCAAGCCAATACTGGAAATGGTGCTAGGGACATTGGCACCTAGGGACGTTGGCACACTGCATTTGATGCTGCAGCTGTTGACATTGACACATTTGGGCACTCTGAGACCACTGTTTTCACCAGGACCAACGCTGCCTGTGGCACCACTATGCTCAATGCAGATGGAACCAAATTCATCAGGGCAGTGCTCTGTAAATTGTGCACTTCGTATATGTATCCCTAGCCAGAGGAGACTTAATTTATGTAAAAAATTGTTGCCTTATTCTGTGTTTCTATCATGCATAGCACAATGAAATCCTTATGTTGTTTAGGTCTGAAGTGTTACTGTAACACAAATAATGCTGCTAGTAATCATAGTAACTTTCTGACAAACTCAGTCAATTTCAGATGCATGTTATGTCCTCTCTTTATCCTTTTAAATAAAACAACTGTAAATATGTCCCCAAAGGTTTGTTATAATACAGAACCAGCAGTTTATCCCTTTTCCCATTTAAAAAGTACTTCTGGGCTTTATAGGAGCAAATAGTCTTGTTATACAGCTTGGGATAGTGTTACTAGGCAGTGGGATTCTTAGCTTTTTAAAAAGGCTAAATTCTAAATGGGATGATAATCCAGATGATAAAGTCTAATCCTTATGTCCAAAACTTTTTCAGTTAAATCTGTAGAATTGTAGATTGTGCTAACAAAATAAATGTTTTGTGTGTCTCATATTATTGGTTTGCTTTTTTCCTAGGTTGATGAGAAAACCATAGGAGAGCCTGGTTGGCTATATGGGAGCTTTCAAGGTCATTTTGGCTGGTTTCCAAACAACTATGTAGAGAAAATACCAGAAAGTGAAAAAGCTTTATCTCCTAAAAAGGCCTTACTTCCTCCTACAGTATTTTTGTCTACTACCTCAGCTTCTCCAGAGTAAGTTTATGTACAGGTTGAACCTCTCTGGTCTGGCAGCATCCTTGGTCCGGCAGGCTGGTGGCAGAAGAGCCAGTAGTGCAACTAGAGGATAGGGAGGCGGTGGCCGGGAGCCTGCCCAAGGAGTGGAGCTGGCTGGTAACTAGGGGGCTGATGGCCAGGCCTGGGCTGGGAGCGGGGCTAGGCCAGAAGTGGAGTCTTGCTAATGTACTTTCTAAGAAAAATTATGTACTTGTGCTAAATTTGCAGACCACTTTCACCAAGTAAATCAGCAGAAGACACGGATTACCATAACATACCTTTCTCAAGCCTAAATGTCAACACAACATGGCAGAAAAAATCCGCTTTTACTCGTACTGTGTCCCCAGGATCTGTTTCTCCTGTTCATGGACAGGTATATTGCTGAGACTTTTACGTATTTTAGGTTCATGTTACAATACTGATATACTTTTGCTTAGAAGAGTCACACTTTTTCAACAATTCATTTCAGTAAATAAGCCAAATTCCTAGTTGGTGTGAATTGACATACCTCTGCTGAAGTCTGTGGAGCTATCTTAATTCATTCTACCTGAGGAGGATCTGGTTGTTAAGCTAACTCTGTCTTCATTTTTTTTCCAGACCATTTGGGGATTACTATTTGTATATACATTTCCTTTCTTTTTCTACCAAAACGTATATTTTTACCCTAGCCACAATGCTACCAATGTGTGGGCCCTTCCAGAGCTACTTCCAAAGGCATTATATTTCTTTGCAAGCACTGGAGCCAACATTGTTTCATAGAACCAGATATTCATCTAAGATATTTCTAGCTTAATTGGTCAAGTCCAGAAACAACTCCTGAGTCCACATGTCACATAACCACAAAACGTTGCAGTCAAGACAGCATGACGTTGAGCTAGCATTTAGGAATAAACACACCTAGAGAACAAAAGATGATTTTTGAAAATTGCACAAAAATTGTTGATTAACATTTGTATCTTTATTTGAACAGGGACAAGCTGTGGAGAATTTAAAAGCACAGGCACTTTGCTCCTGGACTGCAAAAAAAGATAACCACTTGAACTTTTCAAAAAATGATATAATTACTATCCTGGAGCAGCAGGAAAACTGGTGGTTTGGAGAGGTGCATGGAGGAAGAGGATGGTTTCCTAAATCCTATGTCAAGATCTTGCCGGGAAATGAAAACAAACGAGAGGAGTAAGTGAGACTGTTGGTAATTTTGTATTCAACAACTTCAAATAGAGTGAAAAACATGGGGACACTTTAAATTATGGGAACGGAATAGCATGCATGACCCACACCATGCCATTGTGGGCTGTAATTTAGCTAGCTTTTACAAGCTAAGTAATGTTGGGTCTGCTCAGTAAATGAGAGATCTTTCAAGCTGAATGCTAGAAAACAGTGATGCCTGGTTATTCTACAAGGGACATGCTTCTTCCTCTTGATTCAGTATCTCAGCCTGATGGTATCAACTGCTGCTGAGGGTATCAACTTTTAGTTGATACACCAAATTAAGAGGCCTTTGCCATTAATCACTATAAACTCCCATGGCACGTCTTGAAAAAACAGTGGTGCCTTTCCTAGATGGCAAAAGTAGTGAAATTTATCCGAGTATTCAAGTCAACAATTCAGTTAAGTGCTGAAAAATTTTAACTGCAGATTGATAGTTGAAGTGATCTTAAAGTTCTTTGTGATCTTCTAGAGTAAGGAAAATTTTAAATAAGTGTTAAGTTGTTATACAAAACTTTATTTTAGGTGTATGTCTGGAATATCACAATTTGTGACTGAATTCTCTAAATCTTGTAGCTTAAATATGTAAGTCATCTCTATGATTAATTGAAGTCATATTTTTTTGCTCTAATGGTAAACCTAATTACTTTTAATTGAAATTTACCTTTTGCTAATAATATTATTGCACTGTTTCTGATATTCCCTAGATATGACCTATGTAATATTTAGGAGATATTGAAATAACATTAGTAACTACTTGCAACAGCTAATTAAAAATGTGATGGACACACCATTAGTAATATATGCCAATTGAGAATGAAATAATGCTTGGCTGTAATTATTTGTGTCTCAAAGAATCTGAAAATTACACTGTACAAAATCTTTATTACTAATTGAAAAATATTTTGTTAAACTAGCCAGACTAAATCACTTCAATCTTTGTCTGCAGATCTGAAACCATTTATGCAGCTGTAAACAAGAAGCCTAGTACATCATCTTATACAATTGGAGAGGGTAAGACTGCAGCTGTAACGTCAGTTATGAACTTATAAAACTAACTTGTTTAGTAGCATGTCAATTAATAGAGGATATGCACAGAATTAGACTTTGATAAAGTCTGTGATTGTTATAGAGTTCAAATACAGTTCTGATACAGTTATGTATGTTTTTTATATTAGTAAGTTATCCATTTTTATCTTTGTATGCAAGTGGAGAAAGTATAAGTTCAAATGGGTAAAGTAATTTGTGAACTTTTTAATTTGATCTGTATAAATTTTCCCACTCTTTAAGACTATACAGAATATGTAGTCAAATATCAGAGGGGTAGCCATTTTAGTCTGAATCTGCAAAAGCAGCGAGGAGTCCTGTGGCACCTTGTAGACTAACTGAAGTGTTGGAGCATAAGCTTTCGTGGGCTTATGCTCCAACACTACAGAATATGTAGACTCTGCTTAGAAAAGTTAGTCAGGCTTTTGATCTCTATCATGATTATCCGATATTATGGGGTCCCCCGGGTGTATAGAGGGTTTCCTTTTATAGCTTTTCTGAATATAAATGATGGTGCTGAAGTGTGGTCCATGCTGAAATCTCTCACATATAACACTTCTTGAACCGTGATCTGTGACCACTGATGATCCACAGAGAGCTCACTGTTCACATGATACTAACTCTTCTCATTTCCATCTGCTTAATTACATTCAGACACTAAAAAAATTACTATTCCACGTAAGCAGTTGGCTGTGATTGCTACATTTGTCACAGAAATGTTATGTGTAGAAACAATTGCAAATAGAAGGTGAGATGATAGATGCAAACTACTCGCATTTTCCCCCCACCTTGCTGCCTCTATATCTTAAAAGCCAGTTCCCCCAAGCACCATCTCCATAGTACCACCTGCCCTCCCCCCCACACTGCTGCCTCTATCCACGAAACAGCCTCTGCCCATGGTGAGCCCAGGCTCGCCGCGAGCAGAGGCTGCTCTGCATCCTGTGGAGCAGCCCCTGTCCATGTGGGGGAGGGAGGTCCCATTGAGGAGCTGACACACACACACTCCCGTGGACAGGAGCTGCCTTGAAGCAGCCTCTGTCTGCAGCGGCCCAGGCTGGCTGTGAACACAGGCTGCTCCACCAGCAGCCCCTGTCTGCGCAGAGTCTCAGCTCCCTGCTGGGACCCTTCATGGACAGGGCTGCTGAATCTGGGACTGAGCAAGCCTGGCTCAGTCCTGGCTTGCACCGGGTCTAGGAGCTATCCCCACTGCAGCTCTGCAGTTTAAATGTAATAGGAGCTGGGCTACCTGCGCCCCTGGCTCTTACTACATTTAAATTGCAGAGCTGCAGCGGGGTAGTTACTGAACCTAGCACAAGCCAGGACTGAGCACCTTCCCTTATCAACTAATCGTGTAGTTGATACAAATTGTCTCTCAACATCCTTAATGCATACCTGCCTCTCAACATCCTTAATGCATACTATGAAGTTGCTTGAGAAAACGTCATGTGAGAGATTTTAAAAAAGTGACTACTATGCCTCTTGTTATGTTTACTGTAATAGAGTTTTGATAAAATTCAGTTTAGTTTGGCTGAAACTTGATTACAGCTGAAACACTAACATAGTTTCTCTCTCTCTCTCTCTTTGCACAGAGTATGTAGCACTGTATTCCTATGCAAGCTCTGAACCTGGTGATTTGACTTTCACTGAAGGAGAAGAAATACTGGTCACTCAGAAAGATGGAGAATGGTGGACAGGAAGCATTGCTGACAGAACTGGAATCTTTCCATCCAACTATGTCAAACCTAAGGATCAAGATGTGAGTGTTTCTTTTGGGTTTAATAGCTAAAGCAAGAAGGTTTTATTTTGTCTATGTACATTCACTGTATTTTCCTAGAATTTGGACTTTGAAAAACAGGCTGTGCCAGGGCTGGGCAATAACTTTTGATGGGGGTGCCACTCCAAGAATTTGGAAAGTGTCTAGGGCTGGACTTTTCCATGATACTAATGGAAGAGGTGCAGGGTCTAAGATAGAGGGGTGCAGAGCGGAGCTTATGGTAAGGGAGTTTGGATGAAGGAGGGGGTTGTGACCTGGAGCAGGGGCTGGGGTACAGGAGGGGATGTGGGGGTTTGGGCTGTGTCCTGGGGCAAGGGATGGGGGTGCAGGGATTTTTGGTTGAGAGCTGGGGCAAGGAATTGGGGTACAGAGTCTGGGAAGGGACATGGATGCTTTTCGGTTAAAAAAAGCATTTGCCATTTTTTAAATTAGTATGCTTAGTAAAGGGGAAGAATTCAGAAAAAAGTTATTTGTGGCAAAAGAAGAATATTAAGAAAGAAAGAGCAATTTGCAGTAAATTCTGCTGCTAACACTGCAAATTAAAAATCTTGTGCCTTTTGATTGTAGGTTTCTGGTACTGCTGGCAGAACTGGAACACAAAATAAGAAACCTGGTGAGCCTGATGTAACTTAGAAACTTTTAGCTTATGGTATTTTTTCCTTCTTCACTAGTCTTTTTCTTTCTTCAGAGATTGCCCAGGTGACTACAGCTTATGTTGCATCAGGGACAGAACAGCTAAGTCTAGCTCCAGGACAGCTGATACTTATTCTGAAGAAAAATGCTAGTGGATGGTGGCAAGGAGAGTTACAGGTAACGAAAGGAAAAATAATCTTCACACAGTGAATAACAACAAGTACAATCTTTGTGATTTTAGTAATTAAAAGTGAGAAGCTCTTAAATCCTTTTTCTCACATATAACTACACTTGAACATCTCACTGCAAGTTAAAACCTGTAATGTTGGGCCTGTTTGTGTCATGGAAAATCAGTATTTGTAAACCTGGCAGAAGGGTCCAGTATTGGCAGTTAATAAAATGTAAAAATTAGAGTCAGAATAACTCTTTAATCAAGCAATACTAACTTTGTTAAAATATTAAATAATCCTCTGATGAAACAGTGGGAACTCTTAAAAGCGGGGTGAAAGTAGTGCAGTATATTATAATTCCTTGAATTCACAGAACACTTTTCTCCCAGAAAGCACTGAAAGATGTCATAAACTATCCTCAAAGAGCACAATATCATTTAATATCATTAAAATGTTACACGCCTTTGGGAATAAATTGGCAATGCAAAAGTTAATGTATAATCTATGCAAGGAAATATATAAAAATTAGTGTACTTGAACCTTTTTAATCCAGCTACCCTGAGAAACAGTATATGCCAGTTTAAAGAATTTGGCAGGCCAGGGAGGGCGCTGTGATGTCTGTGCATAAGGGTGTTGGGAGTTGGGTGCTTACTGGCACCCTGCTCCCAGGGACATGTGACTTTGCGCCCCACGCTGCTCCCCGGCACTGAGCTCTGCTGCATGGGAGTGGCGGGGAAAAGCCTTAGTGGAAAAACATCACTGCACTGCCGTTCCCCCAGCTGAGGGGCGGGGAGCAACAGTGCACAGAGCCATTAAATCGAACGTTTAAGGTGTCCCCATTGCTGTGATAAGGAGTAAAGGAAGTTGATGGGAACATTTCTCCCCTCAACCTCCCACTGTAGGAACGGTGCCGAAGTTTGACCTAAGGTACATTGTCTACAGCTACAATATTTATGTAGCCGGAATTGTATACCTTAAGCCGAGATTCCCCTGTAGTGTAGACCTGACCTAAGTTGAGAAGCTGTGAGACTAGAGTGTTCATTACAATTCACTGGTCAGTTGCTTATTTAATTTGCAAACATTTTTTATAGGCAAGAGGGAAAAAGCGGCAGAAAGGCTGGTTTCCTGCAAACCATGTTAAGTTGTTGGGTCCAAGCAGTGAAAGAACTACTCCTGCTGCTCTCTCAAGTAGGAAAATAATCTCATTTATATTTAACTTTTAATAATTTTATTTAACTCTTTAATTTACAGTAAATAACAGTCTGGCTGTGTCTAGACTGCTTTTGCGGAAAAACTTGCCAGCTGTCTACACTGGCTGCTTGAACACTGACTTCCTACTGTCTGAAATCAGTGCTTCTTGCAGAAATACTATGCTGCTCCCGTTTGGGCAAAAGTCCTTTTGCGCAAAGCTTTTGCGCAAAAGGGCCAGTGTAGACAGCTCAAGATTTGTTTTCTGCGAAAATGGCGATCGGGGCTTTTTTGCGGAAAAGCACGTCTAGATTGGCACGGACGTTTTTCTGCAAAAAGTGCTTTTGCGGAAAAGCATCCGTGTCAATCTAGATGCTCTTTTCCGCAAATGCTTTTAACAGAAAACTTTTCCGTTAAAAGGATTTGCGGAAAATCATGCCAGTCTAGACATAGCTTCTGTGTATAACATACTGTGTATAGTGTAATAGCCTGATTAATTGCTGCCTGTTATCCTTGTGGGGTTGGTTGTGATGCAGTCAGTATTGGGGACCATTGTAACTGGCTCTGAACAAACACAGAAGAGAACATGCTTTGTCCCAAGGAACGTACAGTCTAACAGACAGCTTCTTCAACCAAACAGTACTATCTCTGGCGCCTGTCCTGGGCTGTGCTATCTTACTTTATAGCTTATTGTACTGGGCAGATACCCTTTGTTTCTGTCCTACAGAGGAAAGACTGTGTCCAAAAGTACAGGCAGTCCCCGGATTACGTACAAGATAGGGACTGTAGGTTCGCTCTTAAGTTGAATTTGTATGTAAGTCGGAACTGGTACATACTGTAGGGGAAACTCTAGCCAAACATTTCTCCAGAGCTCAGTTTTATTCTCCCACACCTCACTGCCCTCAGTCCTTTATTCTCAAGCTGAGGGGTCTGCTGAGAAAAGCTGCTCCGCGTCTCCCTGGTCTGCTGGGGGGCAGCAGCTAGTGCGGGGTTGCCTCACCCTGTTTGTAAGTAGGGATCCGATGTAAGTCGGATCCATGTATCCCGGGGACTGCCTGTATGTAAGATTCATCTAATGCTGTGAGATTTTCAGCCTTGCTAACTAGTGAAAGTAGACTGCAACCTTGCACATCCTGGTGTATGCTAAAAGTTCATATCCTACTCTTTGGGGATGCTGCTTCCACACACTAACAAGACTTCTGGGAACTTTTACTGCTATTGACAATACAGCTACAACTGTGCGTTATTCTTCTTCTAAGGATGGGCAGACAAATTTTCACTCCTCATGGATTTTTGATTTGCTACGTAGGTCTTGATAAGAATATTTTTCTCTGGTTCCACTTCCTCAAAGTCTGCAGATTCTGTAGCATCTTCTGTGTTTGTACAAGAACTCCACAGGCATTCATGATCAAAACCTCTCTCTCAGTACGTCTACACTGCACAGCTGTTTCAGGATACCAGAGGCATCCCGAATTAGCTATCCCATGTCTACACAAGCCCTGCGTCTACACAGATATTTTTCGAAATAATGGACACGCTGTTTCGTCATCCCGGTAATGCATGAGGGATAAGAGATGGCTCAAACTAGCATGTTATTTTGAAATTTGGTGCTGTGTGGATGCGCCAGATTTCAAAATAAGCTATTTCAAAATAGATTTGAAATAAGATATGCAATTTGCGTAGCACAAATTGCGTATCTAATTTCGAGTTTAGGATGCTGTATAGACGTACCCTCTGAGATTTAGCTTTTAATACATTTTGAGTACACAAATTATTTTATAATTCACCATGGTACAGGAGGCCCCCACTTTACGACGGCCCGATTTAGAACCTCCCACTCCCTGCACTTACGACTTTTTCCGTAAGTGCAGAAGGGGCCGAAATACCCCGACTTACGTCCTCAACCCAGCATTTACCATGGCTTACGACGCCTGTCATAAATGCAGGCTCAAGTTACGATGCCCCCAACTTACGACACTATCCTTGGAGCCGATGGCATCACAAGTCGGGAGCAGCCTGTATTATTAAAAAGGGAAGATAAGGCAGTCCAACTGCCCCTCCAAATGGAGATGATAATCTTCTGTGTTTTTTTTTTTTTTGTCTGTCTTTGAAAATTGTTTTAGTCTCATTGATATTTTCTATGGGCTTTATGTTATCTTAACATTGACTTACCTTATACTAGAAGTTCTGCTAACCCCTGTTGTGAATATTTTTTTCTTCCTAGCATGTCAAGTGATAGCAATGTATGATTATGTGGCAAACAATGAAGATGAACTCAGTTTCTCCAAAGGGCAGCTCATTAATGTACTGAGCAAAGATGATGCAGACTGGTGGCAAGGGGAAATCAGTGGAGTGACTGGTCTCTTTCCTTCGAACTATGTGAAGATGACCACAGACTCTGATCCAAGTCAACAGTGTAAGAAATATTTTTTGAAAGCATTTTATCATTTGCATTTCTAAGATTTAACATTGAATTATTGTGTTTAGAACTATTTTATGATTAGAATTAGGAGCCCTATGACTTCTAACATATGTGTAAGTACATCAGAACTTCACTCTTCCACTTGACAGGTGTATACAAAAATATTGCCACTCCATTTCTCAACCAAGGTTCAGTAGCAGCAGTTTTGCTGTGAAGTCCCTAAATAAGCATTACACATGTGATTCATTAACCTTGCTTTTAAATTGTTCACAGTATTTGGTAATTTACAACGAATTTCTCAGTGCTCATGTTCCTCTTCTACTGTATTTGATTTTTTTTGTCTTTGGATTTCTACAAAATATGAAAAATACGTCTGATAAGACTGTAGGTATCTTTGGAATATATTAAAAGTACATACCAACTTAAAAAATAAACATAAGAATAGCAGCTTTCCCAAACCATAAAAAAAGAAGAAAAAGATTCAGAGCCTAGCCGTGAATCCCAGCCTACAGTGTATCCCTCAAATTATCCCTGCTTCTTTAAAATCTTGAGATAAAAATAGGCTTTGCAAAATGTCCTCAAGATCAACAAATGTGGATTATTTGGGGGCAAGCTGTGTAGCACAAATTTTCTAGCACAAATTTCTGTCGTTAATGTAAAGGACACATTATATTCTCTTTCTAACCTACAACCACTGTAAAAGTTCTGTCTTTGACTTCTCATTCTAGTACTTGGTCACTAGAATTTTCACTTTCATCCTGAGTCAGGGACAGCATGATTAAATCAGTTTTGTCATCTGGACCCAAGGCATTAGTAGCTCGGAACAAATCTTGATGGCTTTGTGATGCTTCACAGGACCAGGACTGCCAACAAAGTAGGAGGAAAGCTGCCCCACGGCCCGACGATTTATAAAGGCCCAGGGTCCTGGCTGCCTCTGCCAAGGTAGCGGTGTCCAGAAGCCCCAGGCCTTTTAAATTGCCACTGGAACCCCCGGTGGTGCTGAAGAGCTAGCAGGGGCACGCTAGCCCCTAGCCCCATCTCTTCTGGCAGGCCTGAAGCTGGCTTCCCAGAGGGTCTTGTGAAGACTCTCCTCAGCCCTGCCTAGAGGTGCCTTACTACCACAGTCTCTAGTGTGAGCAAGTCTTGTCTGTGTCTGTGTCTGTTGGAGGGGGTCAGCTCACTAACTCCCCTAGCCATAGCCAGCACAAGTACTGCATCCATGTCTTGCAGGCTCTGCCGTTTCGCTGCCAGTTAGATGTCATAGTACTCCCAACCATTGAGCCCTCCCAAGTAGGGATGTTAGCGTGTAGTCATTTACACGGTTAACCAACAAGCCTGGGCTTATTGGTTAATACTAATGACTACACACACACCTTACTGCCTCTGTATAAGAGGCAGAAATGGGAGGAGCCAGAAGATAGAGACAGATGGTAGAGAGGCAGCAGCGCGAGAGGCAAGGGGAGCAGGCGGGAGCTGGAACACACAGGAAGTGGCTTTCAGGATGGCTCCCTGCATGTACCGGTTCAGCTCCTACAGAACTGCCTCCTTCCCCTCTCATCCTCCCTGCTGCCTCCCAAAAAGGCAACAATGTGGGGGAGAGGCAGGCGGGAGCTGGTGCTCTGGGGGAGCCAGCTTCAGCTCCTATGTGCTCCCCCTTCCCCCGGCATGTAAATGTGTAACAGCTAAAAAATCCAGTGGTTACACATTTACACAAATACACATTAGTTAACACCCCTACTCCAGAGTAGCTCTCTGGAATGTGTCGCTCCTTGCTCATTAGACACTCACAGTGTTCACAAATTCATGTCTTCTAAGGAAACAACAAACTCCAACTCACTAGTTTCACCTGAGATCACCATTCCACTGAACACACAGCACATCTACTTGATCTCACTGTCAACATATCCAAGTCTGTTTAACAAAGCATAAAGATTCAGATAATATCAACTAGAAATATTGAGACTAAATGGTTACATGTAAAATAATCATAACACACATAAGTTTGGACTTTTTAATTAACTAAATATGCTCACTTTTTGTAGAGTACTGCTCATGCAAAATCCTTGCCACACTTACAGCTAGGGTTCGCTGTGGTTCTTCTTTCATGGCAAAGCATGCCTCCTAGGCAAAGGACCTTTTGTGTTTTCTTGTGCAGTCAGATGTATTCTAACAATCTCTTGTCTTTAGTCATTACCAGGACATCCCATGCTGTTTGTTTCATGCTGTGGATCTCTTTGCTTATTGATTTTGTAGTTTCTTATTTTTCCTTTGGGTCACTATGTATTTAGACCTGCAGTGTGAGGCATACAATATACAAATGACAAGACAGCAAGACAGGTATCTGCTGCTTCTTGCCTGAAAGGAATATTTCTGAGGTATGCCACCTCCTGGTGACCTGCCTTAATTCTAATACCTTAAGAACATAATTTCCCTTATACATACATAGCTGCTTAAATATTATCTGTACATATTCTTTGGAATGATTATGATGACTAGTATAGAGATGTTAAATTTAGATTAATCAGCTAATCGAATAGTCGATGCAATTTGCATTGACTATTTGATTAGTCAATAAGGACGCCTCCATCCCAGCAACCCCTGGGGCTGTTGCAACACTTCAAAGGCAAAAGCACTGCAGAGAGCACAGGGCCAGAGTTCCCCACTGGCCTTGTGCTTCCTGCAGCATTTCAAAGCGGCAGTGCCGCATGGAGCCCAGGGTCACTCCCCAGCTTGCCCTGGGCTGCATGCGGCATTTCAAAGTGGCAACACTGTGTGGAGCCCAGGGCTCCACGCAGAACTGCCTCTTTGAAGCACCCTCTCTTCTCTCCCCCCCTCCCCCGCCACTTGCTGCCTCTTTCTGATAGAGGCAGCAAGGGGGGAGGGGAAGTGACTAGTCGACTAGTTGTTCATATCCCTAGACCAGTGGGCTGTTGGCTCTTGAGAATGACTGTTCATGCCACTCTTTGGAGAACTCTTATGCAGATATCTGACCAAGAGGATCTCTTTAAAATATTATGCACCCTCTAGGCCACTATTTCTTAAACTTTTTAAGACCTAGGAACACCAATTAATAATTTTTTTTAATGAGGAATATCAAGGATTTTTGGTTGAGCCCCCCCCCCCCAAAAGTCGGGGGGTGAGGGGAAGGGTCAGGGGAACGTTATTGAGGGAAAAAAGTCACCTGCCCCTTTAAGGGCAGCCATTTTGAATTCTGTTGTTCTATGCAGCACATCTCCAACTGCCTCGCAGCACATCGGTGTTCCACGGAACACAGTTTAAGAAACACTGCTCTAGGCCACCTGCTAATTGGCACCACAAGTTCCCTGCATCATAGGTTTTAATATCTCTTTTACATACCTTACCCTGTCTCTTCAGTTATTTCTGTTCTTCTCTTGATTGGGCAGTGGCTGGTGCTGCAAAATATCAAAAGTAAAATAAATCATTCACTTCTGGTGTTGCATATGCTACCATTTGTAGTTGTCCTACCATAGAAAAATCATCCATAGTTCAGAGTTGATCTATATCTAAATAGCACAGAGTATAAACTTATGTGAATAGACACAGGTTCAGCATTAACATAGTCTTTTGTGTTTTGTTTGGATGAAGTGAGAATCTCAACTACTTGCCGCACTACTTTAGGGCAGGTAAAACCACCTGTGACCATTAAAAATTAAAAGGAATTTTCCAAAAGTATGAAGATGTTACCCCAACTGTCCTGATTGTTTCAGTTTAGATTAATGTGTTTGACCTACCTATTTTCCATGCCCCTTTCAGCTAGATATAAACTGATCTTCGCTTCCTGTTCTCTGTAATGTGTTTTTGTGTTGGTATGTGTTGTTCAACAGTGCCTATATTTCATCCAATGGAGGCTGTGGGGCATATGGATTTGAGAGACAGGAGTGTGTTTAAAGTAATGTGGATGAAATACAATAAGTAGGTGTTGAGATCTTTATGCATATTGTTAATTTCAACAAAAATAGTCCTGAAATTGGGTCATAATTAGACATTTTATATGATGACTAAGTCATTGCCAAGCTGCTAAATTGGTTTCCTCCCAAATGTTGGTCTTGAGTAACAGCATCCCACACAGAAACAATTGCCAGTCATGGACAACATTTCTTTTGGAATTGGGTAAATGAGAGAAGGCCAGTGGCAGTCAGCAATCATCAAGAAGTAATCCTGTTGATGCTTTGAGGTTTAAAGGAACTTAATCCTGTACAAGAATTAAGTGCATGTTCAGAAATTACAGTTGAAGTCTTTTAGCAATTTCCTGTGTTTAAGCTGAGTGGAACCACACATCTCCTGGACATTATATACCACACAACATAGCCAACCTTGAAAGGGAAAATGCATGACATTTTTCAGTGGAATTTGTGATGCAAGTAAAACTTAAATGGGATTTTTAGTAGGAAAAGTGAAGGGGCAAATTTAACAAGTAATATTAATGTTATAGCATCGTATTTATAAAAGCTTACACTTTTGTGAAAATAAGTGTAGTTGTACTGTGTCATCCATAATCCATATTCTCCCATGACTAGTAGGGAATGTAAAATCCCATTTAATTGGATAACTGGTTAAACATATTGTTTAATTGGTTAACCAATTAAAGGAGGGTAAATGGTGGCAGAGTCTGCTCCAGCCCATCCAGAGCAATAATCAGAAGAGCAATCCCTGTTCTGAAAGCATAAGGAAATAGACCTCACAGTGTGTTAATGTCTAAAAAAAGAACCAGGTGACATGCAAAAGGAAAGGGGATCAGGAAGTGGTCCTGGGGGAGAGGTGACACTTCTAAATTCCTGCTTAGAATGTGCTCTTTAAAAAAAAAAAAAAATTGTTATCTTGAGTAATTGTCTGCAAAGACCCAGATTTCAATACCCAGTGTCAAGAATCATGTATCTAAATTTAAGCATACACATTCCTAATGTGATCGTACAAATCATGTGTTTACAAACAGGATTGGCCCGAGACATTCGCGTGCCTCGGGCCCCAGGAGC